TCATTATTTTTCAATATTTTCTTTCCTCGTTTATCTAAGATTTAGATTACTAATCTTCAAAATAAGTGATTGCTGTACGTAGACAACGTCCCGATCATTGCCATGCTCCAAGTAACCTCCTCATCATTTGAAAGGATTATAAGAAAATTCGCGTTATTCAAATATTTCCTGGTGCTAGCAGTTGACGACTACTCTCGTTAATCACAGCGCAAAATGATTACTCGAATAGTCTTTAGTTCTTCTTCCGCGCAGATATTTTATAACTAATGCAATTACGTCGCCCTATAGCTTTACAGTATCAAATAAATTTACCTAAAGAAAACAATTAAAAATATAGTCGGTCTAGTCCGACTATTCAATACCCTACACCACATTGTCTAACGCAATTCTTATTTTTGCCATAGAACAAAAAAACTATGTCCTCTTTTTTTATGTGAACTTACTATTGCGGAACTGTACATTAAAAATTCCAAATGAAGGTCGGAGTATGGTTATACGCAAAAATTGAGATATGTGTTCAAAATTTAGCATAGTCAATTCTTATGTCAAATTATTGTTATGGGTCAATCATAATTTAAATGTTTCTGCCCTGCAGAACAAAAACTTCCGTGAAAATCCCTATACAGGGTAGGGTCCAAAAATAGGCAAATATGATCCAAATTCGGTATAGTTAATTTTTTATCTTAACTTACTATTATGATCTGACTTTGATCAGGCTGCAATGGAACTTAGACCTTGTTGTCATATGAACTTCAGTTTTCGTTATATGAGAATTGGGTTTAAAAATGGCCTAAGGCTGTGCAAAGTTCTCACATCAATTTAGAATACCATAATCCACTTTTATCGATAAATTTTTCAAACTCCAATTTTATTCCATATAAAGACTTTTCAAACTAGGGCGTTACATGATCGAAAAAGTCAAACGATACGAACCATTTTTCGTAGCTTTTGTTCGTGGAACAAAACACCTCTATGTACCAAATTTTGAACACAAATTGGACATGGACACATAACACGCGAATAAACGGACAGACAGACTTAGGTCAATTTAAAAAATGATTCTGAATCTCTGTACCGCAAGTAATGTATGGTATAAAAAAAGAAAACGCGCCACCAATTAATTGCAAAGAAAAGCAAGTTAAAAACATCGTAACCGGCAAATTCGCAGCATTATCGTTCCCCAGAATTCTTTTTACTTCATTTGTTTGTTTGTCTGTCGTCACTACGATATTATGAAGTCTAGAAGGAAATTTCTGTTTATAAGATTTATTAGACACTGGTAAGTAAATATTTTGCATATATTTGTGGATATAACAACAGAGCTTACATAGTCGTATTGCCTGTGAAGACGAAAGGTATTGGTTCGTTTTGGTCTCACACTTGGTTATAACTTTTAATATGAGTATTTTCATAAGGCAATAGGAATCAAGGAGCACCATATCGCAATCGAGATCTCATTGCTTGACTTTGAATTAATTACAGATGATTTACGACACTTGGTGTCCGTTTTGTTCTGCCTGCTTTAAGGATCAAGGCTGAAGCGAGTAAGAGATGCGGCAAATATACGAATTCTAAAATCGTTTGTCATCTGTAAATTGCATTAAATATAAGGCACTATGGGCGTTAAACGCCGATAAGGAAACAGACAGAATTGCCAGATGTTCTCAGAAACGTATTACGTAGGAAAAGTTGTGCTAGGTGTGAAAGAGTACCTGACTATAAGCGTATAAACGATATAAAACAATTCGAATATAGAAGACCCCTTGGTCATAAGACATGAAAGAAATAAAAAATTTAAGTGAAAAAAATGGAACGACTATAAAGTCATAAAAGCAGTAAAAATATGAATAATAAAAAGACTACTGGATCTTATCGATAATGTGTCTAGGAGTAGCAATAAATGAATTATTAAATAGACTAACATGTGCAATCTTTCAATCGTGAGCCACACTTTCAAAATAGACGTGAGTAAAGCTCAATCCCGGGAACCGGTAAACGAACACCTCGAATGGCTTTTCTTTATATTACCTGCGCAACCTTTCCAACCAATTATGAATTAAACGCAGATGTGGAAAGTTGGTTGTGCCCTAGTGCGCGTACGGCCCATTGGCTACTTTCTCTAAGCTATTGCTAAAGTATTCTCTAACGCACTATGATTTAAATACGCAAACACTGTCTTGGTTTTCATGATTCTTATCTATTTACCTCCTCTTGCTGCTCTTTGCTTCTCATAATTACATTAAATCAAATCAATCCTTAAATTAACTATGCATGAATGCAGGACAGGAACCAATATTATGAAAAATTAAAAACATATATATATAGGTCGCTTGCATGTATAAATCGACCGCATGTTACTTTGAGAAGAAAAAGAAAAAATGGTTTTATTAGAGTGAGAGGCAACAACAAATGCAGTTCTCAAATATAATAAGTAAGAAAATTACACTTATATGCTGCCGAATCTTTTATATCAAAAAAAGGCAGAAAAAAAATATTAAAAAAAAAACTATAAATTTTATTTAATTTCAGCAGTTTTCGTAAATTAAGTCAATGGATGGAATACAGATTAGAAATAAAAACCTGTATGAATGTTTACGGAGCAATGGGTGGTATACAAATCAATGCGTGGTATACAGATTAGAAATAAAAACAGCTGTAGAATCAATGGGTGGTATACAGATTAGAAATAAAAACCTGTATGAATGTTTACAAATCAATGGGTGGTATACAGACTGGAAATAAAAACAGCTGTAGAATCAATTTGTGGTATATCCATGACCACTATCCTCAAAAATGCTACAAAAAGAAAGGAGAGAACGAAATATCCATATTCTACGGAATCAAGCGGGCGTGGTTGATTTTTTCTATATTCGTAGAGTAAAAATAGCAATTTTTATCGTATATCTGGTGTAGTTTATGAGTAATGAGTAAAAAGCAGGGAAAGTAGGCGTGTACTTTGATAGAATCGGGCCACTTTCATCTTCTTTCGTAAATTTCGTAAATTTGAAAAAGCATTACATGAAAAAAAATTGCAAATTTTCAAAACTTCTCGACAAAATTTGTTCTGTAGCAGCATTATAATAGTTGGCCTTGGCCGACTAGAAGGTTCGTACTTGTTTTTGTTTATTTTTCTACCCTAAACATGTGGTACAAGGTTGTATTGAGCTAGTGCGCTTTCTGATTCGAGGACGAAGGGTATTGAAAATAGTTCAGAACGGACCACCCTCTCGCCCACTTCCCATATAACGACCTATTTTGAACCATCGTAAGTGTAGAATATATAATGGCGGGCCATGTCCCACTATAGTGATTTTACTTGCTCTTATTTTTTTATATTTAAAGTTATATCCAGTCAATCAAATTCCCCTGGTTATATGCGATAAGGTAAATTTCCTTACTCTTATTAATTGTATTTGTATATGATCTAAAAATAAGCTTTTCTTAGGAAATGGTAAATATAATTTATTAAATCCGACCATTTTTATTTTATTACGTATATATACTTATATATATATACTTTTTTTCAATGTATTAATATTTAATTAAAACGATTTATATTTATTTAGAGTAACTAAGGTTAAATAAATAATTAAAAAAATATTTGTATATCTATAATTTAATTTTTTATTGTTCAAATTAATATAAAGATTAAAATTCTTTATTATAAATACTTTAATGTTCTAATCATTAAGTTAATTAGTTGTATAATGATTTAAATAAATACTTAAATTTTTTAATTTTTCAAATTAAATTAATTGCTTAAACATGATTACGTTTTATTCTTTTTTTTTATACTTTATCCAATACAATAATGGTTTCTTAATAGATATTTCCCAATATAGATTGGCGGGTTTATTTGACGCACCTTCTGAAATTATATTTATAAAAGTTTTTAGACTTTATTAATAGGCTTCTACCCCTTCCATTAGACGACGAGCAAGACAAAGTATGGTAGAGCTATAATAGTAAAAGTAACATATTATCGTTAAATTAAGATTTTATTTAACATTCTACTTTTATAAAATTATTGAAATACATTATACGCGGAATCTCATTAACAACCTTTGCCATCTATTATAATTATTAAGTTACAATTATAAAATTTATAAAAATCGCTATTTATGTCACAAAGGACTTTTAATATCACAAAAATAGCTAACGGATCACAAAAGTGGTTTACAAATAGTTATTATAATTTTTACAGTGCAATAAGAAGGAATTTTAAAATTTAAAATTATATTGTATTTATCTTTTCTTACTTTTAATAGAATGTAAAACACCCTGTCGCACGATTACGTTTCATTCTTTTCGTTCGTCAGCTGTGCTAATAAATGCTTATTTACGCGCTGTTTTTGACAACTGTACAAAATAAAAGAGATTTTCACGCAAATAGTTTTTAGTTAAAGACTTTAAAATTTCGCAAAATTTGCCATGAATTCAAAAGTAAGTTTTCCACTGTAGATAATAATGAAAATAGTGAACATTAGAGTAATTGAAATGCGAAAGAAAACGTAGAATGAAATTTTTTTGCGGGAAACCGAGTGACGTCGTCAATGTCACTGTATACCTCGGCAAGTGTCAGATGAAAACTGAATTCCTTAGGGCGGTCAGCGGAGGAGGAAACTTGTATGCGTTTTGTTTGCAAACAGTATTTTTTACCATAAAAAACAATCAAAATATACGAGTGAGGAACATAGAGAGGAGAGGGTGATAAATTGTTTTTATTGTTATATTATTATAATAAATTGGACAGACATTTGTTTTGTTGTCGATAGTGGAAGAGGTTGTGAAACAAATCAAAAATGGGCAAAGAATAATAATAATAAAACTTTAATATTTAATATGAAAATGTTATTTTGTACATATATATTTGCAGGTGGGTGAAATATTCACCGCAGCTGGTCAGGCATTTAGTCGTTTAGGAGATTTGACAATGCAATTGCACCCAAGTACGGAATCACCGGCTGAGTAAGTTAAATTTTACAAAAATTAACATTAAATTTCTTCTTTTTTTTTTTTGTTTTTTTTGTTTTTTAATTTTGGTGACGCGTATAAGAAATGATAAGTTAGTGCCCAAAAGAAAGAAAGGAAAAATAAGTATTATGTGCAAACAAACAACTTGACATCAACTAAAAAAAGATATTATTTAAAGTATATGAAGAATGGAATAATTTAAAGAAACCAAGCTTTAAAGTGATCATGTTTATCCAAAGTGAAACGTCAGTAACAAGCGGTAGTGAACATAAAAGATGCATGAACTTCCACTGGCCGTTTTGCTAGCTGAATGGTTGGCCTATTCTTATACTCATATAAATTAAGCCACATATTGTAGTATTTTCCCATAAGACGTAACGGTGAGCACCTTAAAAATAGCTCGCGATCATCTTAATCAAGCTGAAAATAAGCATTGGACATTCAAGATGAATGAGTTGTTTTAAATATGTCCGTCTGTCTTCTGTTTTTTAGCTGTCATCAAAGCAAAAGTTAAATCAGAAGGCTGAAACGCGAAGCACGTCTCCAATGGCTGCTGGCTGAGTTTAAATTTGGGCACGATTTGCCCTTAATTAGGCCAGGTCATGTAACCTAAACAACCTAAAACAGATATGATGTACAATTACCAAAATAAATACCAAAAATTTTTGCCATTTTTCTATATTGGATTGAGGTGTGTAAGTGTCGCACTAAAGCGAATTAATTGTTTATCTGAATTTTTAATTTGATTTTACTATATATGTTTAATTAATTAAGCTTATGCGTAAAATAATCAGAATAAAAAAATATTTTCGTTCTCTCGCTATCTCCATCGTCATCAACACAACACTTGAATGAACAATATCTGCAACGTTCTTATTGCAGTAAATGGACAGACGAAGAAATGGATATGCTGCATGCATCCATAATACGATTTTCAGATGATTTAAATAAAATCAGTTTAAGCATCAAAAATAGAACAGTGTAAGTGTTTTAATTAATAAGAAATTTTGTGAAACCTCTCTTTCTGATAACCAGGATATAGCGAGAGGGCAACCTAGTACGAAAGCAAAAATCTTCCTAACAGTACTTGTTTTTTCACATTTCAGCTCACAAATAAGGCAAACGCTGAAAAAGAAGGCTTTTGAAGACGCTGGCATACCAGCTAAACAAGTTCCGGTACAACAAGTGCAAAATGTTATACAAACGGTACAGCCTTTACAACAGCAGCAACAACAACAACCTCAAATTCAACAGCAGCATCATATAGTTAGGCAGCAACAGCAACCGACAACAATTATAACTAGTGCTACGCCGCTCGCCACAACGACTCAGCAACAAACAACGCAGCAACAACAACAACAGCAGCAACAATCGCAATCATTACAACAGCCGCATCAGACAGTACATATACAACATGTCCAACATTTAGTACCTGTTCAACAGGCAATACAGAATCAGGCGGCGGGAACGAGCCAATCTCAAATTATACAGACGTCCCCTAAACCAATCATTATACAACAGGCATCAACCTCGCATGCCTTGCAAGTGGGCGGTAACGTCGTTAATAGCAACGTGCAGGCAGCAGGGATAATGACGCCACAGATTTCTCAACCCCAGATAGTGCATTTGCAACCGCAACAATTGCAGCAACTGCAACAAGCTCATGTGCAATCGCAACATCAACAAATCGTTCAACCCGCCGTTCAATCCACCTCGTCTACGACGACTACAACCACGGTAACGCTGCAGCAATTTCAGCAAATGCAAGCCCAGAAAGCTTTGCTAGCGGCAGCCGCAGCATCTTCGGCGGCCAATATAAATGCAAACGCAAGAACAAATGCTGTCGTTACAAACGCGACGCCGGTAACGACCACGTTGTCTGAAAGTGTAGTTATTCAAAAGCAACCCACAATTGTTGCTGTCTCCAATGCCAGCAAAATACTGGCGGCCAATAATGTGGTTGTCACCAAAACGGTTGCCATCAATAATGCTAAGAATGCCACTGTCGTGTCTACTGCTGCCGCTGGCGTTGCGGCTGCTGCTCCTGTTGCCGTTACTCCAGTGGCTATACCAACTTCGGTGGCTTTAAAATCTGGACCTGACGTCACCATGACCTTAAATCGCATTAACACCCAAGAGAATGAAGTAGATGTTGAGGAGTGTTTGCCTGCTGATGTGGTAAAATTGGATTTCGCTGGCGAAGAAGTCGCCGGATGAAATTCAAAGTCTGGGCCAAGAACTACAGCAGTCTCTTTGCCAGCTACGCGTCCAGTCCGCCCGACAAATGCCAATTTAGAATTGCCTGTCACCAATCTAAGTGTTGCGGACGTTAATAATCAAGTTTCCCATGAAATCGAAGATTTTTATTTTTAAATCCATTTAAATCCCACACAATCCCCAAACACACGCATAGAAATTTTTTGATCATCATTAATTGGATATTTTCACATTTTCACAATTTTAGTTTTCTTTTTTTTACTTAAGCGCAAAAAAAAAATCACGAAAGAAAATTCTTAGTTTTAACTGTTACAACAAAAACAAAGAATAATTAAACATTATTGAAACTTTAAAAGAAATAGTAAAAAAAAAAGATAAAACTTGTGGTTAGTATTTTATTTAGGGTATAAAAGTGTACAAATTAATAAAAAAAAAACCGTAAAATATTAAAAAATTTCATTCATTTCATACATTTTGCTACGATATAAACGCAAAACACTGCTCAAATCCATTCATGATTTGTAAAAAGCATTTGTTGTCCGGAACTAGTGGAACACTGATTTATAACGTCTTTAAAATATCTTTGTGGCATAACACATAATGATGATAATGATTTAGCATTACCATTATAATTAATTTAGCCAGAGAAATATATTCGAACGTCTTAAAACAGTAGCATCTAAGGCTGTCGGCTTTGTCGAAAGCTCTACCGCACTGACGGTCATTGGTCTAGTCTCAAATAATGAATAGTTTCAAAATTCTTTCGTCTTGAATATTCAAGTTAGGTGAGCATTTACCAATGGTGCCAAGTTTCTCAAAGAGAGATTTGATATATTTGTGATTATCATCAGGGTATGTAACCGCCTCCGCCCATCTATATAATTGCCATCTTTTCACTTTATCGGGAAAGGATCGATGAACACCGAATTGAGTTTTCATATTTTAATTTTTTTTTTTTTTTTTTTTAAAGACAACCATTAACTAGTTCTTGAGCTTTGTTTTCTTCCATTTTTCCTAAAAAAAAAAAAAAAAAACACAAAATTCTCAGGAAACGGGAGTTAATTAAACAAAAGTATCACATCACACTTGATTTTTGGATTTAAGAAATAATCAACAGCAACAATAACGACAATTAAGTAATTAACGGCATCTGAGTTTTATAAAAATTCACTGCTGAGATCTTTGTGTTAAGTGCCAAAATTCATCTTAATGTGGAGAAGTTGGTGGAAACTCTACTATTGAAGAACATTTCGCTGATTTAAATTCCAAGATATATCTAATGTTGCATTTAGTATGTGCCACCGACGACACGGTACTGGTCGTAGAGAAGTGAGATAAGAGCCAGAGGGAGATAGGGAATGAGTGCGATCTGATGCATGCGTGGTATGTCTATCCTGATATGAATTACTTCCAATTCACAACTTAAATAGGAAAAACTCCCATTCTTATTACAGAACAGTAAGATATAAATTACGATCTGTAAAAGACGACAATTCAAAATTTCCCGACATTCCTTCACTTACTTAAGAAGGCAAAGACCTAAGACCTAAGGTCCGCCAAATCATAAATGAAATTCCTTACCTGTTTTTCTTTTCCTCATCCAAATGATCAAATATGAAATTTATATAAATCATTAATTTCGTAATTAACCCATGTGAGTTATTTTAAATTTAAGTATTGATATATGACTCTTAATTAGTTTTAGCTGGAGATGCTGTCTTCTAATCATTTGAATTATATAATATATCAGTAATAAAGCAAATATATTGGAAATGGAAGTAAAACACCCATAGACTAGTGGCGTAATTCGAGTCTTATCATTTTCTTTCATTATACCGTATACCACTTGTGGTACAGGGTACATTAAGATAGTGAGGACGTATGTAACGCACAGATGGACATAGGGCTCGGCTTTTAAAAAATTTTAATTTTATATGTGTAAATGGCAATGGTGTTCCAGTTGATATTTTTAGCTTTTCTGAGCGACGAACCTATCCATGATGAGGACCGTTTCTTAGATTAAGAGAAAAGAAACTAACCACTAGCAGCATAGCCTATCGGCTCTTCTTTAGAAAAGAAAATTACATATGGAGCGTAGTAGCTTTAATGAAGTAATATGTTAAAATGATATTACGTTCCGTAGCTGATAGCACAATGTCTACGCTCCCTTAACGCCTTACAATTATTACACCATTACTTAATTTAAAACTATAATAATATTTATAATAATATGCAAAGCACAACGAAATGTATGTTTAAATTTTTTGAAATTCTCGTCGAGTTAGCAAACGCGTTTTAATTTTGAAATAAGTGGGGTAGTGAATACTGTAACATGTGGTATCTCATTAATATTGACATCGCCGAGTTGCCTCTCAATCGTTGGGGTTTATATTTTAATAAAATTTAGTATCTTTATTAGAAATCTTCAAGAAATCGAAACAGTTTTATATTTACAATGAAATTTATTTGTAATTTTTAAGTTACCACTTAATATTTAAAGCGGTATTTAACTTCTCTACGGCATGATAAGTGGTATGTAATAACATTTTTGCCTTTTCCGTATGAAGACCATCAAAGAAACCGTTATACATTGATTCGTTGGTAAAATTGTCAGGACTTGATTGTGGCAGTTGCCTATACAAATGTTCCAGCTGGGAAGTGAGTTCACGTGCTGTTTGGCCCGAAACAGGCCGTATTTGAGCGCCACCGTTTATGCAACCTTAACAAATGATAGAAATTTATATGCGCTAAATATCAAAATGCTTGCCAGCCCAAAAATTTACCTGACGGGCAGGCCATTACTTCGACAAAGTGGTACTGTGTTTTTCCTCGCTTTAGCTTTTGCACCAAGTTTTGTATATTTCGAAAACCGTTCGCTATAGCAAATTTTAACAAGCATTTTCCATCCTTTTCTAAAACGACTTCACGGAAGTCCGGATTCCTACAACAAATAAGAAACAGTATTGCAAGCCCCAAAACATTTCAAAATTTTTTCAAAACCTTAAGTTTTTATATTCTAACGTAGCCACGTCCATATCAAACAAATGTTTTGCGGAATATTTGAAAATATGCTCGGAGTAGCCGCCTGATGTGCTCGACTCATAACCCCATATGGTGTCAGCAGGCCCGTTGCCATCAACGATGCCGAAGACATTATCAAATTTCGAAGCGGGATACTTTTCTAAAGCCTCTGAACCGAGCATTTGTTCAATTTCAACTTGAAAGAAAAACTAATTGAAAATTGTTGAACAGGCAAGAAGGAAAGGTTGAAAAACAACCTACTCGATGTTATAACACAATCCACGTCTTTAGAATTTTCTGCTTCATTAAAGAAATCGTTGCGAGAGGCTTCCAATTTTTTGTCGTAACACGGCATAACCGTAACATGATAGATCTGTTCTGCTTTCACTTTTAAATTTTTTGCTAGCCACTGCTTTACCAATACCCCCATAATCTGTTGCGGAGACCGCGTAGTTGACAGATAGGGCAGAATGAAGTTTCCATGCGTCTTTTCGGCATAGCAAACCCAACCCGGACAGGAAGACGTTAACATAGGCAATGGTTGCTCTTGAGATTTACTACGAAAGCGTTCTATAAATTCTTGACGACATTCGAACAAAGCTAAATCATCAGCTATTTTCGTATTTAATATAATATCTCCTCCCAAGTGCCGTAAATAACCACACAGATGTTTGATAGTGTTTTCAACTGTTAAGCCATATCTTTGCGCAAGACTTAACACTGGTTGTTGCGATATTGTAAACACGACCACACGAGCTTGATCTGAGGATTTGTCATTGGTCTTAAGTGATTGATTTTCATTTAAAACTTTCAGCAGCTCCTCTTGACTTTGTTGAGTGATTAACACACCTTCAGCAGAAGTAATGCAACCTGAACAAGCTAAACAATCTTGCAAAGTGATTTCAACTTTTTGCAGTTTCCGGCTGCCATCCTAAAACAAACGATATTTTATGCATTTATTTTGGGATTAACCAAAATACAAACCTCGGTCTCTTCATAATAGCCGTCATCCTGTATAGATATCTTTGCTCCAGTTTTAGACTTACTTTTCTCTATGATTACAGGCTTAATGCATTCCTTCACAGAAAGGTTTAAGGGGAGAGAAATTCATTTTTATTGTTACTGATGAAATTAAAAAGCTTACTTGAGATGGTGTTATGAAATCATCCAAATTAGTTAATTGCAATGCTCCACTAAAATGTGACATTTTTTTCTAGGTATTCCTTGATAAATAAGTTCCGTTAATATCTTTTAACTCCTTGTTTATAACTTTCTAATAATCACTTAAAATAATACAACGCATAGAATGCGTCAGTATACAGCTGTCAAAGAAGGTGAACGAAAGAGTGAGCTCGATCATTTAGAACACGATTTTTTAATAAATGTCTATGAGTTTATTGTTTCTATATAGAACTGCAATTATGTACATATGTTAGCAATGTTTTCATTAACTTAGCGAATGGATGAATACATCCAAGAAGAAACTAAACCCGGCAATTTCCATTGCGTTATGTACGGCGTTAATTAAGTTTCATTTTCGATTTTCGACTTTTTTTGCTAAATGTTTGCTCATAATTTTGGTTGTAAAAGTATATAAGGAAAAGCAATACGTAATGTTATGCTCATGAAATCGGCTAACCCATCTCGAGCATTTTGACTGGATGAATGCATTAAATTACTCGTTTAGCACAAAGATGGGGAAACACAGGTGATTGATATTTAATAATACGGTGAACTTCCTTATACAAACAGTATTGTATTTATTTGAAATTTTTTTCTTTATTATCAATTATTTTTCTTAAGCTAGTGTAGCGTTTTCGGCGCTATTAGAACTTCTCAACTTTTAAGATATTAGCTTATATTCAAATTCAATGTGGAAGTCCTCAACCGAGATTCAATTACATTGTTTACTAAAGAACAAACATTGCTTTGTCCATCATGGATGATAAGATTGCGAAGTATGTAACATCTGTATTAAAATTTATAACAACTATGTTTACTATGTTCCACGTTTTTTTTGTAAATGGAAAACTTCATATGAGAGAAAGAGATATACCGAAAAGATTAATTGAAACCTTCGTTGTGACAACTGCCAAAGACCGCAAGTGTTCCCATCGCATTACAGATTTAATTATCCTGGCACATGCAGTCGGTTACATTATAACAATAAATACACATAAATCCGCACACGTTTAATTTGTCCAATTTTTTTATCAATCAACAATTTTTATTTTTGGCATTTTGTGATATTTTCATTGAACTTAATTTTTTTGCAACTTGCTTACTCACTCACAAAAATTTCTTTATATTTGCACAATGGAACAGTTAGTTGGTTTTTTTGCAAATGACAACCAAGTTTCAAGAATTCCAGGAATTTTGTCATGCAGAAGAAGTAAAGGAGAGGAAATGAAATCATATGTTGATTGGTCATTTTCCTTAAAGCGGCTTTTTCCTCTTAATAGATTTTCTGTTAAACCGGCCAATCTCTAAAATAACATCCAAAATATCTGTTAAATTAAATAAGTAAACAAAAAGAAGAAGAAGAAAAATGGAGAGTAAAAAAAGGACAGCGTCACTTAAATTTTATTTATTTTATTTATACAAATTCTCTATAAATTTTATAAAAATTTTTCATAAATTTTCAGAGTTCCCGAAATGCAACGAACGCGACACATGACTTTCACATTTTTGCTTTATAGTGTGTAATCATACTCTACGTATGTTGCTCATTTTGTTCAGTTTCTTACGATGATTATTTATTTTTGAAACAGAAGAGAAAAAAGGGAACAGAAATAGAATCATTCTCGAAAGTCATTTCTTTTAAGTCCATTTATAAAAATTTCATATCTGCGATTATATGAATTCAATCCCAGCATATTCTTAATAGCTAACGCGAAAATATCGATATTGATCATATCTCTATAACAGAAGAATCATTCAATTTTTTTTTCAAATTCGGACTGAAAGATTTCTATTTGAAACCAGCATCATACATGTCCACGCTTAAGTTAGAATTACGACAACCTAACATTACTATTTTATCTATAGTCTTAACGTATTTGTGCATTTGTTCACACAGCACACAGCAGAGTGAAGTCGAAAAAATTCACTTTCAGTATCAATCTGCAATTAGATCGTTTGCGTAACATTCGAACGCTTGGTCTCTACCTTTAAAAAGAAAGCATTCCCATAATCCGTTTGAGCAAATTCTTAATGAGATAATAAGATAATAAGGCAGTAAATTCACATCGTATCCAATAAACTTTAATTTTTTATAAGCCAATGTGAAAAGAATTTTCTATCGATGCAAATGAAATTTCCTTTTGATTATTAAACATTTTCCATAAAAAAAGACTCTTTCGTGTTTCAAACTCTTTGAATCCCATACTTTATTACAATTAAAGTTAAATATCCTAAATTAAATAAATTATCTAAAATATTCTGCAACTAAAGCGCACTTTAATCTATAACTTGAAAACATTTGCAATCGTCTTTAGAAGTTTCACTAGTTTTTATCAGAAGACAAATAGTGCAATAGGCACTTAAAGTAATCTTAATGTCCAATAGCATAGTAGGAGCAACCATGCCCACACTAACTGAATATCGACTTCAATATCTTACGCTTTAGCGAAGCGTTGCTTTTATTTGAAGAAACAAATTTTCCTTTTCCACTTAGTAGGCAGTGATTCGTATACTTTAGTACGCTGTAAGGTATTTGTTAGATACTTTTCAATTTCCTCCACCACGTTTGATCGCCATTTCAGTTTTAAAAATAAAGGGAAACTGTTATTCACCTTTTTCATCCGTCTCTCGGCTGTCTGATAACATCTCCAAGGTTGAGCTTCCACGACCAGCAGTTCACTTAGCGAACATAAGTTTCTCAGAAACTCTTGCAGTCCTGTATCGTCATGATTTAAATGAATCCACATAGTTATAGAGAAGCAGCAAACAGCATCAAATTTTTTTCGCTTGTATTTATCCAAATAATCTTGTATTTTTGTAAAATCTTTTACAGCCATAACATCCAAACAGGCGAACTCAATGTCAATATCACAGTTATTATCGGCTTGGGCTCGCTTGATTAGGTCAGGATCCAAGTCTACGGCATATATTTTTATATTCCTAGAAGGTATTGTTACTTGTGTAAGAAATTTTTTTAGCAGCTGTGTAAAAACACCGGAATTACAGCCAACATCAAGCACTAAATATGGTGAGTCCTCACAGCCTTTTTCTACAAACCAATGCTTTTTAGATAGTAAGCCAAGACGTTGCTCCGCCGAATTGAATTGATAATAATTAATGAAATTGCCAAACTGCACAGCTCCTGGATTTTGATATTCTTGCTGCGGAAGTCCCTTCATTCCAAGTAAATATTTATAGGTAATATAAAGAAAGAAAGAATAAACGTAAACAAAAAACTTGACATTTGAGCAGACACTTACGATAATAGCGATGGTAAAATAATATCTCGAGAGGGAATAGAAAAAAACGATAATTTTCGAAAAAAATCGACGAACGCCGTAACGGAATGATGCGACAGATTCTGTAGAATAACAAAGTTTAATGCCTTTCTTTAAGTTTAATGCTATTCTTTATATTTTCAGCTTTTGTTTTGTTGTTTCTGGGTTGTTATACGTTCAGAAGCAAAAAACTTTAATACAAATTCATTCAAAGTTTTTGGTACTAATTTTTGCGTTATTATAAATGCAACCCTGCGAGAAGAGTTCCGTTTTCTTGTTCTTAATTTGCAAGTCTGAATGGAGTATTTTTCCAAGTGACCGCTAGAGAGCAGCTTTTGCGATTACAACGTAATGTTTTGCTCGAAATTAAATGACACTATCAATGCTACAATTACAACAGAATATATCAAGTTTTACTAATAAAACCGAATGAGAATAAAATTAAGTGCTATTAGGAGTATTCTTAACGGCTTATTATTGCACGGAAGCACACAAAAGAAGAAGGAAAACTGTTGCCCTTGATAATTTCATGTGCAAACACCAGCAACGTCATAGCAGCTATTGAAAAAACGACTAAGAATTTGGAAGCATCTGAGAGTAAGCGTTTAAAAGGTACTCTGCATTTGTTTAGAATTAAGAATAATTCAAAGAGTCCAGCTTCCTTCACATCTTTTTGGTATAACGGAATACTACTACTCGACAATTCCAATAGAGAAATTTTGAAAAACGCAATTTTTTTCATATGACGACTGTTATAAAATAATTTCATTATGTGTGGAGACATCATGCAAATGATCCGATCCAATCAATTTCCAACAGAGTTCGTAGCGCAGTTTACCAAAATTTGGCAATATACTTAAAAAATTGGGAGCTATGGGGACACAACACAGACAGATATCCTATGGTCAGACGGACAGACTTGCCTATATCGGCATAATAAACTGTGGATCTTCATCTTAAGTCCTTCTGGGTGCTACATACATGCGCTCACAAACTTAGTATACAGTGTACCAAAAGTGGTATGAAAAACTTTGCTAATTAACAAATAAATACTTCGCTTCTGTTGCAAAATATTTGTTCATTTTTTGTATTATTCGGGTATTTTGAACTTGATCAGAAATTCGTAGATCTTTTCAAAACTTTAATATGCTCGCTACTGTTGATCGGCTAGAGGTTTATAAAATTTTATTGTTACTATGTTATATTATTTGATGCACGATTCTTACTTTTCGAATACAAGTTCTATTTATATATATTTGTATTTATTCAACATCTCATATTGACTTCAGATTGTTTAATTCTAATCTTAAAAAAACTAATAATTCTCGATATTTGTAAAAAGCAGAAAAAATATTAAAATGTTTAGCTGATGATCTTACCTCAAGGAAACTTGAAAGGCGAAAAAAGTTTTGTGCCATTCAACATTCAAACATATATAAAATAAACTTAATTGTACTTAACTTAATGATTGCCCTGATAAGTATGCTTGTTACAATTTAGATCGATCGACGTCTATATGTTACTATTTAAAATGATTCTTCAGATAGTTTTCCGATAATTGTGGATAGATCACAATCACTGCTAAATCTGATCACGTATGTTTGTGTGTTTAGTTTAAGCATGCATGTGTGCTGGTAATTTAATGGTTTCTTTGTGAGAGTTTTGACTGCACGCCTAAATCGAGTCATAATCTTAGGTTAAGCATGTATGTATTTTGTGAGGTCCATCATAGCTTAGCTAAAGAAAATTTCCCATTTCGAAATCCTTACAAATCCTTCATACCATAAAGCAGAGACGATAAGTCGTTATAAATATTAACGAATGCAATCCGCATTGCATGAATTGGTTGCAACTGAAATCGTAATTAACATTAAGGCGGAAAAAGAGGCGAGATGACTGGAACACTTGCTGTTATTAAGGTTCTGCCATTATTCCTTGTCAAACAGCTACGAACTAGTTAACCAAGTTTCCCTCTTCTTCTTCCCTTGACAACTTTACTTTGATGACTAAATCCCCGAAAGCATCTACCCATACGCAGCTATGAAGAATGAAACAATAGGATGGACTTTTTATTTTCTTCATAATGACACTCGTTGGAGGACGCTTCCATTTACGATTTGTTAGGGAGCGTTTGAAGGATTTAACTCGAGAAATTCTTTCAAAGCTTTCTTTTGTCACTAACACTTTCAAAATTTAGTTAAATTTATCTTTGGTCAATTAGCTGTTTTTGTGTGATTTTATATATAAGAAGGACACAATTAACTTATAAATCTAAATATAAAAGCATACATACATACATACATACAAGGTAAATAAAGAAGAAAATAAACTAATTAATGATATTCGTAATAGTAACGATATGGATCGGCATAGTGTGCGTCAGTCATGCCAATATTCGGTGAATTAGTTTTCTGTAAGGGGCGGATAACATAGGTACTGCGTCTGTGAAAAACATAAGCAAAAGTTATGAATTTTAGAAGAGAGAACCGACAAAGGCTGTCCGCTTACCGATTATGATCTCCAGCATGAACTTGAACACTGGTCTCTTCGTGGTGATCGTGTGAGAAGAGTTTTTTCAAAGCAATTATACTGGCTATGGTTAGGGCGACTTTACTAATGACCAGCGCTTTGCCGGCTATAGCCGCCAGAGCTTTAAGACCAATCGGTCCCGCTATGCCCATGGCAGTGAGTAGGGCGGCTATTACATATTTCACTCCAGTACTTTTATCCTTCTCCTTTTTGTCGTCGCCGCCTTCGTCATCGTGACCTCGGCCCACGCTCATATCCACTTTGAGCGAATGGGTCCGCGCGAGTTTATCCAGCTTTGACATCAAAGCTTGATCTATAGGCGCCAGACTATTAAACGATCTGGCATCAGTTAGGACTGGAATGATGCTCTGCTTTTCAGTGTCATTTTGTTTTTCTAAAATGACTCCCTCCATAATTTTGATGGAGTCTAGATTGATGGCTCTTGTCAAACCATTTAACGCTTTTTGTTTTAAACAATCGATGAAATTGTTTCTATTATGACAATCATCGTAAACTTTACGTATTATACGAAGTTCGGGACCGGGCCAAGATGATTTTACTATTGATCGCGCCTTATGCTCACCTATTAACGATGATGGTGGCGATGTTGGTAGCGAAGGGAAGACGGCTTTATGCCTTCTTTGTAAACTATGAACCGTTTGCAAATTATTGAACACAAAGCAAAGCGACAAGAGTAAAAAATTCAATTTGATGTTAGTGTTGAACATCTTAATGCAATAATGTAAAAATATACGTTTTTGTTATTATGAAATTTTTCACTTTTTCCACCACGCTTCGAAGCCTTCAGATCTCAGATCAGCAATTATTGTACTGACTGACTATTGTAAACGTTTCTAAATGCAACTGCAGTGAAATTATTACGAGTAACTGGCTTTTATAAAATTTAATGCAATGCTTAGCTAAATCATTGATATGGAAACTATTGGCGTGCTTGGCATCTTTAGCATCCAGCCAACTCTCTTAGCTTAGGAGATACTGATAAGTCTTTAAGCTGCAGTGCAGCCGTTGTGTTGGTTAATTAATTTTAATCATTTGCTTACATAAATATATATATATATATATATATATATATATATATATATACGTTGAGTTGAGTAGTTGAGTACTATTTTCAGTTGTGGACCTTGGTTTTCTTTTGCTAATCAATAATTAAATATGCTGCACATATCCACACCTCTACATTAACGCATTCGCATTAATCGTTTTGCTTCTCATATGTAAACCGCATTAGAAATTCGATGTGTTTGTTAACTGACACGATTTTCTTAATCATCCAACCATTTTCAGTTTCTCTCTCTTTACTTAAATGTATTGCTTATCATATATAAATCCATGCGTGCGTCCGTATGTGTATGGGTAATATATAGTATTGGTTGCACTTTCTTTAATTGTTTCTTCATAAATCTCAGATAATTTCTAATATATTTATGAGGCATAATTTATTTTCAAATGCTTCTTCTACCTTTCTCTAGTTTGTTTTCTTTCTCGTCGTCCAATTTAAAAATTTGAATTTATAGTCATTAGCTGGCTGTTGGAGAAGGTTCTTTGCAAAATTTGGAACACTTCTTCCTTTCGGCATTGATCAGATCTCTCACTCACTTTGTTCGCTCCAATGCCCAACATTTGTATTATGCGTAGAAAAGAAATTTTTTAGTTTAAACGACTTTAAGCAATGATGAGAACGCAGTACATTTTATTTTTTTGACCAGAATACGAAAGAATTATTTTAACGGTAAAGTTTCTAATAATAATTATTATTATTATTATTATTATTTTAATTTTAGACTAATGAATGGAATTCTTAGACTAAAAAAAAGACATTGAGCACTAGCAACACAGGCTATCGGCTCTAATTTAAATAAATGGATATTAGATAATAAGCTTAGTAGTATTAATAAAGTAAAATATTGAATTGATATTCTGTTCTGAAGCTGAAGGGTTAATCGTTCCAAATGCAATACTTCTAGCCAAGGAAAAATTGAGGCAGTCGCAGAGAATGTGCTTTATAGTAAGAGTTTGTCCACAACAGCAGATTGGGGGAGAAGACTTCTTCAGGATCCATTGGTGAGTTGCAATTGTATGACCAAGGCGAATTCTCGAAAATGTTTGGATCTTGGTTTTCTCAACATTTGTTGGATATAGAGGTGGAGTTAATTGAGGGTTAATGCAAGAGTAGTGTTGATGATGGTATTGTAAATTTCCTTCTGTGATTTTCTCTTTAACTTTTCTTCCAATGTATCTTTGAAGATCCAACTTTTCCATGACATCATCCATAATTAGACGAGCAGAAGCAGCATACTTTGCCGCTCGATCAGCCTGCTCATTTCCCAGTAAACCGATGTGACTTTGTACCCATAACATTTTAATTTTTCCGTCGGGTGTACTAATTATATTCCTTAATTTGTTGATGGTGCTCCATCTCGAAGTCGAAGGGTTCCGGGTAGCTTGTAATACAGACAAACTGTCGGTAACAATGACGGTTTTGAGTTTGTTTTTATGGGCAAGGTTGGCAGCGTGAAGGATAGCCCTGGCTTCGGTTATGAAAGTTGAAGTGCTTTCGTGAAATATGTGGTTGAGAAGAACCCGTCCTGTAGCATCTGCCACCGTACAAGCAGGAGGCAGACCAGGAGGTTTTGATAATTTCTGTAGTCAGTCTTCATTTCTAATAATTAATAAAAACTATGTGAACAAATATGCAAGAACATGTAGTAATGCTTCGCTTAACACATTCAATACGTGGCATGATACGAATTTTCCATGTATAGTGGATTGAATGTATCGCCGCTCTTAATCAAAAACCAGGAGGAAAGTTATATTCGGCGGGACCAAATCTTGCTTACCCATCTAGTCGACCTTGCCGTCCTCATGTTTAGCATTTTTCTTCTTCTTCTTTCTGTTGTTCTAATAATTTAATTTTACAATTTCGTTTCGATGCGTGCCAATGATTACATTTTGTGCAGTTACTGCAGTCAAACTTGCTTCTTCCGCCTTTAATGACTCTTTATGTTGTGTAGCTTCGAAATGCTGCAGCAATTGAAACCCTGAACCCACTGTCAGGTAAGAAGGTAAGAAGAGAAACATGAAAAGGGTCACATTAGGTATATATATATATATATATATATATGTGGTTTATATATGAAGTTGTCTTGTTCTTACTTCAATCCTTTGGACCCTGGTCTCTGCTGAAGTACCGCACCGACATGCGAAAACCTTGAAACTAAAACGCTTTTCTTTTTGTGTTGTGTTATTGTACCACAACCAAAAGTTTCACCGAAGTCTCTATCATAATCTGACGGTATGACAATGAATACCGATGGCATCGAACAGTTTTTCTCTTTCTTCCCACTTTTTATTTGCCACATAAGCGCTTGGTCCACTCAAGATTTTAATGTGCAAGAACATCATAATTAAATTATAACTAACACACTTTATCGCATTGTACTCTCCAACTCTTTTCATTTGATACGTCTGTGATGTCCACAACAACAATTAATTTCGGATTAACACACTTAGCTTCCCGCATTCCGCTCACCAAGTCCTTGTATGTGATATGCATATCAACGGTCTTGTAGCGAGAAAATCAGTTCACTACGTCATGAGGTCCGAGACATTTCATTTGGAGCACTTAGCTTCTCGCTTTCTATTCCCCAAGACCTTTTATTTGATACCCATATCGCCCAGCAGGTCGTGGTGTCATTTCAGAATTAACCCATGTTTAGGCAGATAATACTACATCTTCACTTGAAGAATGTATAAAACGGTCTTAAAGGGTCTGTCTGATTTGTCTTACGATAAATATGCATAAAATCTCAAAAAAGTAAAAAAAATATAAAATTTAATTACTTCTAACTATGTGTGGGCATGGCCATCCATCATCAAGTGGTCTCCCTGGCTTTCATCCTTCAGGATTGAAGGGTTGATCAGCAAATAGGTTTAAGCGGCTTGAAGATTGCCCGGAATAGCGAATCTCATGTGGTTAGATTACGACTTGTTTAACTAAACGAAGTTAAGTTAATTTCTAGTTAATTAAGCTAAGTGCTTTAAGGTTCACATGGTACAAATTCTTGCCAGAAAAGATTTGTAGCCATAGGCTTAGGAAGGAAATCAAGGCAAACGGTACACATTATACAAATTATAGTTGACCAAGTCTTTTATTCGTTCTGAATCATTTAATCGCTCTGCCAAGCAGCGAACAGGGTAATTTGTTGTAATCCGCACTCGGTTTGGATTCGCGTCGGCAGAAATGAATCAAGACGGACAACTGCATACAATCAGACACGAATGCTGTATATTTCGTTTGAAGGTGACCGTTCGGATTTATATGTTCGAATACGTATTCCGCATGCATTAAAGTAGCAAAGTGGCTCATCTGCATCCGCAACTTTTTCAAAAAGAAAAAAAAGCAATAACATAAAAGTAACATAAAAGTTAATTATGTAATTTTTGACTTTAAGCATTGGGTATACATAAAGAGTATCAGTAATGGGCCTATATGAAGGAGCGGTCTAATATGTTGTGCCTTTTCAGTCCACTTTCATCTAATAAGTTTGCAGCTAAAATATTAGAGTGCAGGCTTAAGCTGTTGCCGCTATAAAGCGTTTTATTTCATCTTTAACTTTCAAGGCATCAAACCTGATCCGAACTGCCGCCTCTTTTCCATATGGCATATCGCTTGCAACACGGCTATGGTCCGAAAGAAGTGGGGAGAGATTGATCGCGACCTGGCAAGCGATAAGCGATAAGCGTTATGCCAATCACTTACATCAACTAAATAATAGTCTAACTGGGTTTTGAACCTCGGTATACCGACTTGGTAGTCGCAATTCTTGACTTGTTGGTTATGCGGTAGTCTTAGCACGATCCCAATGGACTGCTAAGCAGACTGTTCCTCAATATATTACAAGCTCTAAAGCTTTAGTCCCCAGAATGTCTCATAGCTTTTGAGCTAAGTAGCCAAGATGTCGTACTACCCTCCATGATAACTTCACTTGATGAGGCAATCAGTTTTGTGGCAATAAGTTTTGAACTTGATTCTCATATTAATGATCTAAAGTCGATGATATTAAAAAAAAAATTGTTTTCTTCATTCACATGCTGTTATCATTTAATTGTGTAAAAGAAAAACAAAAATTTAGCGGTCAATGAAATCTATTAACAGTTTATTAACATCGCCATCACATCATGCATAATCACTAAACTCTTTAACAGGACAATACACTCGAACTGACACGTAATGCGTGCTAAATTGTTGTTACATTTTAAATGTGTGATTAAAAATTTCTTCAAAAAAAAAAAAACAACCATTTAAACTGAGTGTTAAAGACGATTTAAACGTAATTGAGAGACGATTGCACATTTGGTACACTAGCCCACTAAGTGAAATTATTATTTTTTTTTTTTTCGCCAGCAAGACAAAACAAAACGAAGAAAAAAAAGAGTGTGCAGCAAGTGTGAAAAAAATAAATATATATTATGAGTTTGTGTATGTATGCATGTGTGTGTATGTATGTGTGTGCGTGTGTGTGCAAAGATTTGAAATTAAACCTGTGATTAAAATTGAAAATAATTAGATAGGGAAAATGTTATAACAGAGACACCTCCATAGATAAACATGAGAGAAAGAGAGAGAGAGAGAGAGAGTAAGTGACAAATTATAAGAATTTGTATTGCGTTGTGCGGGGAAAAGAGAAAAGAGAAAGGATCCTTT